AAAAAAAAAAAACAGTTCCGTTTAAACAAGAAGAAGCGATACGTCTACCGTGTTTACGAAATACCCACTTCCAACTGGATAAACTGTAGAAGAACAACACAAGTAAAAAGCCAAACACAAGAATACATAAAAGACGACACTGCTTACTTTTGGTCATCTTAAAAGGCTATTGCTTCTTTATCGCAAGACCGAGACAAATCACGACCACACGCAATCAGTAAATGCGGCTGCTCCGTAGTCCTCATAAATCAAAGCAGCACTGACGTACTCGTCAAAAAAATGTTTTCCTATCTCCAACGTTAACTCACGTGAAGTTAGTTTTTTTTAAGAGTGAGGATAATAATTCGTAGCCTTCATGTGACTTCTAGTTATTCACAGCTACCTGACGCGCGCTGAACTTCAGAAACTTCAAGGCTGCTAGCTAGAATCAATGCAGTTACCTAACGTGAAAAAAAATTTATTTCTTATATCCCGCGACCACCCACCCTACAACTCTGAAGAGAAGATTATCAATGCTCAATTTTCGAAGGGAACCAATACAAATGACACAAGAAAGTATTCGTCAGCTAATTCATGCTTTAAAAACCTTCGAATGCAGCAGCAAGGATAATTCATTAGGCTGACATAACAGTTACAACACACTTTTGCCACTATTTTCAGAAGGTCACAACAGCGCTCAAAACAAATAATCAACGCCTTTGCATTTCAACAAAAATAAAAGGTGACGACGCGAAATTCAAATGATGATCTGCCGCTGAAGTATAAAATGTCCCATCAATTGCAGAAGTGAAGAACAATTCGAAACACAAATATCAGTTGACTATGAATTATTTGGAAGTAAGTTGAATACCTGCATTTTATCTTCTGTTAAATAGAAGATGAAAATGAAGAAAGATGTTCGAAATGCATACGAGGTGATGCATTTTTGCTTCGCATATTACGTATTGATTAAAAAATGACAGATGAAAACAAAACCACTTCTGGATATAAAATCATAAAACTTCCAAAATGATGTGGAAAAAAGTGTCCACTGCTCTCCAAAATGTGCTGCGGTATATCAAGCTCTGATTTGAAAAAATAACAGATTGCCCATTTCTGTATTAAATCTAGCTTAAAGACAGCTGAACGTGAAATTAACAAGTAGGCATTTATTTATAAAGTAAGCGTATTTGACAATTCCAAAAGCAACTCATACTGAGTGACAAAAATAGCTGTTTTGCACCACTTAGTGAAGACCATATTTTTCGTGGCGATCAAGCAGAGTGTGCTAAAAATGTTTACAGTTGATGAAAGTGTGAGTCGGGTTGCGAAATTCCAAAAAGTGTGGATAAGTCTTCTAAAACTGTCATGTCAGCCCAATAACTTCACCACATTCTTGCATACACTCATATAAATAAAACTGAATTTTGCATTCTTAAAAAGCCAATCGAAATCGACTACGGCAATGAGCATACTCACTTTACGAGAGTGTAACTCATGCTAGACTGTGAATGTCCAGCAGCATCGCCAGAGCCATCACTCTGTATCCCCTCCGCGTCCATACGGTGCAAAAAATCTGAAATAAAAAGAAATCCAAACTAGGATTTGAATCTGATTGATTAAATGGCGCACGCACCAAACAAAATTTATGCCGATTTTCAGTGTAAAAGTGATCGATCCCTCTACCTCATAAATTTCTGAAGTGTAAAGCAAAATTTTTAAGAACTACTCAGCATGACAAGTAACAGCAGTAGCAATCAAGTGTGGCAAATATTTTCTTCAAACTAATTCAATTAATAAATGGAAAAAAAATTAAGTCCTTATGCCCCTATATCCATTAATAAAAGTAATATACATTGTTTTGTGACAGCGACAGAAAAAATTAGCATCAAATAACCAACACATCAGACAACGACTCCCAACATTTGGACGAAACAGCCAACAACCAGACACATTATCTAAAACCAAACGGCATTCTTGGCACACTGACAGAAATTTTGCCGTTCCGCTTCAGTACAAATCGCTTTTATTTCCTGGCTTGCTGCCATAGAAAATAGCTCGTTCCACGACTTTTACGCGAACGAATTTTCATTTGAGTTGCTGGGGTATCCTGTGCCTTTGCGCCCAGCAACTTTTGGAGCTATGACATAGAGGCAAATAAACATGATAGATACTGCACGCTTTCTTCAATTGATATTTCGAGGTTTTTTGTAGTATGCTATTCAGTAGACCTTAGGTTTGAATTTAAGAGATTTAAGGGAAGTGCTAAAGGGGTTACTTACCTATAAAGTTTTCCCCCCTTAAAGTTGCAAAATTAGCCAGATGACTGCTCGGCGCACTCGACCTTGTGGACTTATGGTTCAGCTAAACCTTGGTAAAGCCTATACTTTCTTGGTCTATTAGGCTCTCTATGAATTCTGCTCCCAAAGTGACTTGTATAGCATGTAATTCTGTAAAATAGTTGAGCAATTTAAAAAAAACAAAAATCCAAAAAAATACAAAAAAGTTTTTTGAAATTCTTAGGAAGAAACTATTTTGCGCAGAATTTTTTGCTTTGTAAAACACCACAAATTGATGATGCTCCTCTGACGGAATAAAGGGTTACACAGTGAAAAGCAGTATGGGACAAGCACTACTAATTGTTGTTCCACTACTCGGGTACAATTTGCTACGACAAAACTACCACCACTGGCACATTAAGCTATTAAAAGCAGAGACCAGCCATTATAAATATCTAGTACTTTTGGCTGGTTGAAGATCTGTTCCGCGACATCGTATTTCGGAGGCAAGTAAAATTATTCCTAGTTTCTAACCGTGCAGACTCGTAACAAGTCGTTTTCATTCAAGTATCCTGTGATTTGCAAATTTTCTGCGTAACTGTAACAATTGACAAGGAGAACTGTTTCGAGGAAACCTCTCGTGCCCTCGATGGGATAGTGAAATAGACTTAATTTCTCTGAGACAGGCAGCCTTTGCGCACCTGAGTAACAAGAATATTCACTTCTTGCAATCTTCTTGCAGTTAGCCAGTGCTCAAAAACCTACGTAGATGTGATATAAATCTTGCTTAACATTACTACACCTACGAAGAGGCGCCAGTTAATCAAAATTTGATAAATTCAACATGTTACCAACATGTAAACATATTATTCAGATTTTTTTTGAATCTATTAAAGTATTAGACCTGAAGAATTCTGGCATGAAAGGTTCGCGAAAAAACCTTGACTTTAGCTAGAGTCTGGTTTTAGGATCAAAACATTGGTAATGCGAATTATGGACATGCTTCTTACAGCCTAGAAATCTTTTAATGTATTATCAAAAGCCAATATTTACCTCTCCGTATAGAATAACAATTTGAAAAAACTTGAAAATATTTCCTTTTTATTGAATACAGTTTTGCTGGATACACCTTAAACAGCTGAAATATACTGAAAATTAATAATGGTTTTCCTGAAGTCTCAGATGCAGAATCTCTGTCTGACGGTGATTTCACCACTGTGAACTTACGCGACTACTGCAGTGATAACCGGATTTCTTAGCTTCGCATTGCCTTTCGATGCAGACTCTCAACTCCTTTAGAGGAAAACTGCCACATTTTGTTTTATAAAACAAAAAATTCTGCATAAAATATACTTTTCAAATGTTCCAAATGACTTTTTTCTGTATGTTTTTTTTTTGAAAAATTGCTTTTCATTGTGTCTGTTAAACCGTTTTACAGGGTTAAAGTTCATAATTAAATTGGATAATTGAATCATAATTGTAATTAAAGACGTTCAGAGCAAAAAGTGAAAGAAAGCATGTATGGCATACTGTAACCAGAAAGAAATCTATTCAAAATTATAGGCTTTGAAGACTGAAACAACATTTTACGCAGGGTTTGCGAGAGTTCAAGTCCACTCATGTGCTCCCACAACTGTCTTACTTGATTCCTGAGCAGCTATCTGAATCAATCGTAGGTGACTTTATCAGAAGTGAACAAAACTTCATTTTATGCAAAGAAGCAAATCTCCGTGATCTTCGGTTTTTTACTTCTGAAAGTGTTATGCGGCTGAAATAATGCATTACATCGTAGTTCTTTTTATTGATATAATCATCGGTAATTCTCAAGAGTAGTCTTGTTCAAATGCTTTTTCCGCCGCTGACTATCCTGCATTCTAAGCTGCACTTTCTAAAGAACTGTGTTTCAGGAGTGCTGTCAGACAAATGTCCAGTTGGGTGGATTTCAAAGAGTTCTTTTTGCATTCTTCAGGTCAGTTCCCTTTGGTTTATTAGTTTTTGATTCTGTCGTTAGGTGCATTATGCAAAAA